GGCGACCGCTGCTCCCCCCGGGGCCGGCACCTCCGGCGCCGAGCCGCGGGCTTCCCTGTGCAGCCGAGCGGGACGCTGAGTTACCGGGTACCGGTCCGTTCGTGCGGGTTTTTTTTTCCAGATTAGCGGCCCGAACCCGTATGCTTTGCGTCAAAGGGGCTAGGACCGTAGGATGAGTGCATTGTATGCTTACCAAAAACTGTTTGCTTTTCGATGGGCATACCGGCAGAAATTAGGATTAGGACGTTCGTGGTGCAAAGGTTGTGCCCCTCACTACTGCTGGTGTAAAATAAAATGGCTGGTAACACCACTGGCCGAGCGGTGCCATTTGCACAGCACCATGGAGGCATCTCGGCTAGATGCCTCCCCTGCATCCCAGCTGTGCCCTTCGAGCCGCCAGTCCCATCAACTGCTTAACAGAGCATCAAAACTCCCATAAATACCACCTCGGGATTTACGGCAGGCCCTGCACAGGTACCCCCAGCTTGTGCCTCCTGTGCAGCGCCACGCCGGGGTGGGGGAGCCTCCTGCCGCAGCTGCCCGAGACTGGGTCACGCTCTCGCCCCTCGTCGCACAACATCCCAAGGCGCCCAACGCACCAGCCTGGGCGTCCCTCCACCCATCTTGAGTTACAGCGCCCTGTCTCCATTCTACAGCCCCCTTAGAAAACCTGAAAATAGATGCTTGGAATCAATCCTACTGCAGTTTCTCAGATCACTGTCTTGAATTGGCCTGATCTCTGAGAGTCGTTCCTAAGGCAAAGTCTTAGTTTTACATCCCCATATTTGGCTTTTGTTTTGTTTTGAAGCGAGGAAATCTTAGTCTGTGTTTATGTACTAGAGCAGTAGCTGGAATGATCTCTTTACCAGTGCTTTACACACATGCTTTTTTAACTAGAGTTTTCCTTATGATTGTTAATCCTGGAGCAGGAATTTCCTATTGCATTCCTCACAGCAGGAGAGCAAGAGGGAGAGGCTGTTCTTTCTCTAGCAATATCTTTTTCCACCCTTCCTGTTTATATAGCATTTTTGTTTAACAGGATGGAGCCGTCTGACAGTGACTTCACCCCAGCTATAGCTCCCTTGCTCTCCCTGTGTTTAACCTGGTGATACAGCCCAACTGCGTGGCCTCTCGGAACTGCTTTCCCTTCACCTCCTGGCTGGAGCTGAGGAACGCATCAGGAAGGTAGGGCCAGCGCCAGGGCTCTGATGTGACACTGCTGCTTCCCTGCTGCACCCAGAGCTGCACGGCTGTTCTGCAAGGCTGGGACGCGCTGAGGGAAGGACAAGAAGCAGGTTAAAACTACTAGAAAGGAATAGAGATGCTTCCGAAACACAAAGAGCTTGACCAACCAATGGGGGGGATGTCTCAAAACACCGGGCTTTCCAAGGCCTCCCCGGCCAACCTTTAGTCAGCAAGAAAAACAATGGATACTTGAGTGCCCTGTTCATTCATCTGACGGGAAAGCTGAGGCCCATCCTGGTTCACAGCTTTCACCATTACCTCAGGAACAAAAAGGGGGTTCTCCCAGGGGCCGAGTCCATGCAGCCTGACTTATGAGTCCACAGGCAAGGGCTCTGAAGTGCAAGGACCACGGGATGTCTCCCTGCAAGAGCAGAAGTGCAAGATGCGATGTCAGCCTCATTCTCACTGAAACTAGTGAGGCACTGATGTCACTCAGAACAAGCTGGCTCAGCACTTTCCCCAGCCCCTCGGAGGAAAGGAAATGAAACAACGAGCCTACATGAAGGAGGTGCTTTTTCCAGTGTCTAAACCGAGCACTTCCACCAACCACCTTCATGCTGACCACAAAACCTACACTTAAGTGGAGAGGACAGCTGACCCCAGCAGAGTTCTGTACTGACAAGGCAGAAAGCTGAACTGCTGCATCTCGAGGTGATCTGCACATATGGTTTACCCAAACAGTGACAGCCCGAGCCCTCAACAGCGTTTTGGTGCCCAGCTTTCACTGGTGTCCCACTGCAATGCGAGGAGAATCCTGCGCTCCCACAAAACACATACTCTGCATCTTCCAGTGCATTCCTGGGTATGGCGATGGGGATCTGGAAAGAAAACATCACATGTTAGCTGTGATCCTTCTGAGCGGGAAAACAAAACCTCAGTTCTGGCCCCCTGAATGCAGGAGCTCAGATGGAGTCTCGGGTACTTTCAAGGACGGCTCGCTCTGTTGCTCTGGCTCGCCTTGGGTATTTCCAGAAGATATTCCAGAAGCAATTTTCTGGTAGATCTGAATTTCACCCTAGATTTTTGCAGGACAAATGATCTAAGAAACTGTATGGTGCAAAAAGTAAATGCCAAAACCACAGAAAAAATAGCTACCATTACAAGTACCTAACTGATGGGAAAAACGACTGTATACGTGCTCTCAGTATGTAAAATACAATTTATTGTATTTAGGCCAGTCATAAGTATCAACACAATGTAGTATGTTTGAAACAAACATCTTACCAATAAATACTGTCTAAACATTGATATTAATCTTTTGATCAAATGTGTACAGTGTATTGACTCAATATTGCACAGTGATCTCTATATGACATTTCCATAGTGCATTCAGTTTGTTGCAGGGATAGTTTGCCACAGATATTGCAAAGCATCAGAGTTGACTTTTCCAAGTGAAAACAGCTGAACTATTTCAGTAAGGACTGAAGGCTGATACGAACGGCAGTGTCCTAGGTTAACTGGTTATGGATTCATGGAACCTAATGTTTTCATGAACGAGGAGACTTTGTTTCTAATGCAGTTTGTAAAAAAAATTCCATTTTCAAACAGAATGAGGATATTATCATCAAACTTGTGTGAACAGCCAACTCCAGTGATCCAGTGATCAGTGAGCCTGTTTTCTCTTGTTTCAATCTAAATATAAATCATGTCTTTGATCTTTTCAGAGATGTACCTCACCACTTGCATTTCAAAGGCCAGACCGTGCAAGCCCTCAGTGTTACTCCAGCACTCTGCTCCCTCCATGCGCCTCTGCTCAGGTTAGACCAGGTACCCATCAGTACGAGCTCAGGTCACACACTGTAGTCTGAATAGTTTTCAATGTATAAATGCAGATACAATTCCCCAATAGTTCTATAATTAACTGTATCACAGCTTTATCTGGTTAAATCTTGATTCTACAGCATCAGCTCTGCGTGGGGGCAGTCCTGCCACTTTGTATTGCATTACCATGCCTGCACAGAGCGCTGGGAGCTGCCAGCAACGTGGCCGGCTGTACTGCTTCCCTGAAACCCAGTGGCTCCCGGATCCGATGGGCTTGTGGGCTCTGGTGAGCACAGAATCAAATGCTGGCAGGACTGCGGCTCACGGCAGGTTTTCAACAACTCACTGTTGTTCATTCTCAAGTCTAGCTACAACAAAACTATGCCCACACCAGTGGGAGATTACTGTTGGAGCAAGGACTATACGATTTGGCTTGTAAGGTTTGACCTGCATTTGCATAAACTTACATTGCTCTGACATTGCAGAAGGACCTTAAAATGGGCATATACTGCCTTAATACACAGATAAACTACATTGCCTGGCCAAAGTGGTGTGAGCTGCTCAAAATGCAAATGAGAACCATGATCATAGAATGACTATGACTGACTTGGAAAAGATCTGACCATCATTATAACGGTGCTTAGTGCTTAGCGTGTAGTATCCCTTAGTGCTTAGCATGTAGCATTCCTTTAAGTAAAAGAAAATTCACTCACCAAGTGATACAATTAAAAATTTCTAAGAAACTACTGGTTAAGTGTTACCTCATGATTATGTAAATCATGTTTATATACCTCATCTTCGCAGTTTATAATTTTGTATATATTTAGATCCTTTATATTCAGGTAACAGAGATGAAATACTTATTTCTATCTAAAAAGACGGTAGGAAAAAAGCAGGGATTGAAAGGATTCCTTTTTTGTACAAAAAATACATTTTTATGACAACAGCCAGTACCTTCACAGTAGGTCCTTTGCTCCTCTACTTACTACCAAGGTTCAGTCATCCATAACACCATCATAAAGTTTTGTTTTTCTTTCCACTTTTCAACACCAAAATTCAATGCACTACTATGGAATGTTTCCAAAGTCTTATGCTACATCCTGATAAAATCAGGAATATTTTTTGTTTTTCTTTTTTTTTTTTTTTACTTTAAAAAGGAACTCAGTTCATGCAAATAAATACATAATATGCACTGAAATACTCAATTCTATGATACAGGTGACTTTGGAGAAAAGTCCCTTTATAATTATCTAAACTAGTTCTAATAAAAGAAGATAGTTGCAAAACAGAATTAAAAACATTTCCGTCAACTACAAGTTGATGTTTGCTATGTGTTCAAGCAGATTACATCTTCTACCTAGTTGTGTTAATCAGTGTCACTCTTTTGTAGTGTAGCAAATATTTGATTTTGAGGGGTGGCTGCTTTATGCAGTTTTTGTAGTCCAGGATATCAGTCTTCATTTGATTCTGCATACAGGATCTCAGGTTAAGCCCAGATCTGCAGAGAGAGAGTTGAACAATCATTTATGACATTGACTAGAATATCAAACGTTTAATTAAAATTTGGCAAGGCAGTCAGATTAGTGGCACAGTGTATCAGCAGCAGTGATATTTAACCCATAAGTTCAAAATTCTCCTAACTTTAACAGGTCAGATAGCACTTTGTGGGGATTTTTTTCTATTTGAATTTTCTGTTCATGTTTTACACTGTGGTTTTTATATCCTTGTTAGTCCCTCTACAGTCAATTTTCTTGTAACAATCCTTCCCCCTTCCCTCCTTTTTTTAAATAATCAAACAATGAAAGTGTGCTGGTTTTGGCTGGGATAGAGTTAATTTTCTCCACAGTAGCTGGTATGGGGCTATGGTTTGGGTTTGTGCTGAAAACAGTGTTGACAGCACAGGGATGTTTTCGTTATTGCTGAATAGGGCTTGCACAGAGTCAGGGCCCTTTCTGCTCCTCACCCCACCCCACCAGCAAGGAGGTAGGGGGGATGACAACCCAACTGACCCCAGGGATATTGCACACTATATGATGTCATGCTCAGCATATAAAGCTGGGGAAGAAGAAGGAATGGGGGGGGGGACACATTCAGAGTGATGGCGTTTGTTTTCCCAAGTACCCATTACGTGTGATGGAGCCCTGCTTTCCTGGAGATGGCTGAACCCCTGCCTGCCGATGGGAAGCAGGAAATGAATTCCTTGGCTTGTTTGCTTGTGTGCGCAGCTTTTGCTTTACATATTACACTGTCTTTATCTCAACCCAGAAATTTTCTCACTTTTACTCTTCTGATTCTCTCCCCCATCCCACCGGCAGGGAGTGAGCGAGCGGCTGCGTGGGGCTCAGTTGCCGGCTGGGGTTAAACCACGACAGAAAGGAGCACCCAAGGCAGGTGTTCCCAGTGCTTACTCGGAGAGTGTGGTCCCAGGAGCCCGAGCAGAACGCCGTCCCATCAGGAGAGACCCGCAAAGTGCTGACACGATTTTCGTGTCCAAACAGAATAGATACACGGGACCCTTTCAGCACATCCCAGACATTTATGGTGTAATCGTTATAGCCTGCAAACAGTAGGCGACCTACAAAGAGAATGAGATGTTATAAAGTAAGGTGTTAAGTAGGTAACAAGTCTTGACTGCAGCAAGGGGCTTCTGCAGGACATTCATCACCCAGTGAGCCACAACCCAGCTTTCCTGTGCCACCCTTTGCACACAGCGAGCCCTGACCTGACCCTCGCCCTTCCCCCATGCTAGCCGTGCTCCTGCTCCACTGCTGAGCTATCCGTAGTAAATGCTGAATCAATTAAAATGTATTAGTTAAAAATATAGTTAAGATTGAGTTGAATTATATAGAATCTGGTTCAGTCATCAGAGATGGGGGATGACTTGAAATCACGACAGACTGAAGAGCACTTTTACGGCTAATGCAGGGTAATAATATTTTGCTCAGAATTTACGCAAGAAGTTGAATACAAATGGTTGAATGATTAGTAGACAATTTGGTAAGTGATTCATTGTCCCCAGCGGGACAAGCTGTGGTGCTTGTGATCATGACAGAGACATTTGCCTTTGTCCCAAGCGGAGGGCAGTTCACCACCCACTCATCCCCACGCAGGGTGACCGGAGGAGCTCTGCATTTGTGCTGGGGCAGGAGACAGAAGACTCAAGCTCATGTCTCCAGATTTGTAGTGAAAAATGGTAATGTATCTGTCTTCATGGTCCTCTAACATACTTTTACTATCTATTAATCATTTATTATCCTTTTATAAACTATTTATGTAAGTGCACTTAATAGTCTACTTACATTTCATGTTTCCTTTGAAATGATTGTAATCATTATTGTGAAATTCTAGCCCAGCTGTAGTTAAAGGCAGAATATTTCCTGCCTTCAGTAGGGCCAGGAAAATACTTTTCCTTGCTACAATGAAGCAATAGCTAGCTAGGTTATTTAAAGACTAATTATTTTTACAGAGGCAAAAAAAGGCTTCCTTGCATTAAATGTTTCTCTTGGTACTTAGTATTACTTTTAAGAACTTTTAATAACAAATGCTTTATCAAGTTAAACTGGCAAAATTTTACAGTTCCCCTCAAATCCCAACACTACGATAACCTCCAAAGTTCAGGCCTTACCACTGAGAGAGAAGTCCACACTGGATGCTCCAAAAATTATGCTCTCTTTGGAATAAATTGCTACTTCTCTGTCTGCACGAAGGTCATATAAACGACACTAGGATTAAAACAAAACCAATACGCATGCCTCAGTAAAAGCTGGAGTCAATGGCTACTACATTTCATTGAAAAAATGCAACTGGGAAGGACTGCAGCCCAACAGGCATCACGGGAAGCGGCTGCTTGGCTTCTTTCCTTCTGCTGTTTCTGCCCGCTGTAACTGGGACTCCTCTGGAGTATAACAGAGATCTAAGCAACACAAGGCTGTTTTGTATAAATTGAGTGAAGAACTTGCTTTTTCCAAACCACTTCTCTAAGCCTCCTGCCTGTCCTGCTATGAAGAGATGAGTGGTGGCTTTTGGACCATGGGTACCCACCCTCTTGCTTCCCCATTGTGGTTTCCTACCTATCAGGGCACCCTGCTGCTGGGGAGGTGCATGGGGAGGCAGTCTCTAAAGACAACAGCTTAGCCACAGCTGGAGTCTGGGAGACAGAGGATTAAATCTCTAGTCATCTTTGAGAACACGGGCCACATGGCACCGTGCTCAGACAGTCCCTGGGCATGGGGAAGCCTAGAGGGTTGTCCTTGCTCTCAATAAGACCAGATAGCAAACAGCCCCTGCTGTTCTGTGGGGCCTCTCTGTCTGAAAAACCTCCGTGAAAATAATTCAAGTGAAATAACACGTTTTTATACAGATCTTTGGTTTTCATCTCTCATGGAAAATCCCCAATCACCTCTACAACCTGCCCTTCCTGTTTTTATCATTTGCCAGCATACGTAGGCTTGTTTAACATGGAAATAATGTATAGACAGACCAGACTTCACTGCAGAAAGGCAGTCTGTTAGCCCTGAAATCAAAATGCACTTTTGAAACTATTTGAACTGAAAGCCCTTCTCAATAAGTTAAGTTTAAGCAAACGCTGGCCAGATGGGTTGGCTAATATTAAGACTTTATTAATGAAAAATGGCTGATACTCAAGCCTGTACATAAAGGAGAGGCTGTTTCACTCGCAGGGCGGAGGGGAGCTGCCAGTTATGTGAAGTCCAGGTCTCTCAGTGCTCCACGCTGATGAATAAATCCATCAGACTGTCCTGACAGGGAGTTGGGGTCACTGCAGGTGACGGCGCTGCCACGTGAGTACACGTGAGCACGCTTTTATGGTTTCCCTCCAGACAGTCAGGATTATCTCTTCCTCGAAATCCCTAAGTTTATAAACCAGGTCAAGGATACCAGTCAGTGTATCAGTCCCTAATGCTAAACACACCAACCTCTTCATTTAAAGAATTAAGTAGATGGAAACTGCACAAACCTCTGTCGAAAGTACAGGCATAGAATTTCCCATTCTCCTGCTCAAGTTGGAGGTGTCAGGAATAGTTAAGAGGGAGAAATCCCATCAAATAAATTAATAAGCACAGGAGTCCAGAGCCTGCGGTACTGGGCATAAAAAGAGAGTGCTCTCATTGGAATTTAATGACAGACAATTTCACTATCTCACTCCTGCAGCATCTCAAGTGCTCACAGTACTGCATCTGAACGTGCAGAGGCACTGGGCTCACCACAGAGCTAGAGGTATTAATTTATAATCGCAGCTTTTAAGACCTAAAAAGCAGTGTATGCACTCTCCAGATGAGCCTTGGAAGGTCTCCACATCCAGAGAAAACAAAGGGAATGTTTCTATTGAGTTTAGCTAGTATTGGAGCAGACTCAAAAAGTGCTGAGGGCAGAATACTTTGGAAAGAGTCTTCACCCTCAGTGTAACGTTTGTATAAACAGGAGAAACAAGGTGCCAGGTGCCTCCAGAACGTCTGCTCTCAAGTCACACTTAACTGCCCACTCAGTCCCTGCAGGGCTGTGGTACAGGCAGAGCCTGGTCCCCCATGGGGACCCACCAGCCGCAGCGAGAACCACCAGACGTGCTCATCGCTCGGGGGCCCAAAGGCACCAGGAGGTAAGTGGCATTTTGCATACAATATGCTGACCAAAATTACCTGTCAATACATACTGTGCCCCTCCTAGCAGCTTGCTCATAGATAAATAAGATCCAGTAAGAGCTATTGTATCATTTAGGATGTCCTGGATGCGGTGACTCATCGCAGTGAAGAGCGTTGGCCATGAGTCAGGCTGACAGGGAGAAGATGTACGTGGCCAAGGCCACCCTGGGGCTGTGCTCTCAGGATGCACGGGGCTGCGGAGGCCAGCTGACCGGGTCTGCCCAGTTCCACGCTGAGCCCACGGCCCCTCGGCTTGCCAGGATGTGCGCATTCACATGGAGGCTCCCTTCATGCCCTTGTGCTGTTCTGCTCCTTCTGATGCAAGCGGCAGCATTTCATCTGGCTCCTCCCATGTTGCGACAACAACTATATGAAGCCAAATCTCTTCCAGTAATACAACTAATTTTGATCATGAAATTCCAAAATATATAAAATCTGAAATGAATATTTGGACAGTACCTCATGTAGAAACGTTTGCAGAGGTGACCTAAAAGTGTTATTAGAGTTTCCCTATAGCATTATATATAATATTTAATATAGATGATTGCAGACAGATTTCTGCAATTTTGGTGTCACAGGCCCAGTTTAGTCACTTAAAGCCCTCTGTGGATATGACCTAGTCTTTTAGGAAAATCTGACCTGGAAAGTAACAGAACTTCTCTAAATTAGGATGCTGAATTAACATACCGTGGCATCGTCTGAACCAGAGGCAAAAGCATCTCCACTTGGGTAATATCTGTGCATGAGTAAAAAAAGACCAGAATACATTACATTACTTGGATGAGGTCAGACTTCAAAAATAGAACCGGCTCATTGCTCAACATTGCAAATGTGTCCTCTCCCAGAAACATACTGACCTGACACTGTTGATATCTGAATCATGGGTTTCAAATGACTGGATGCACTGACCGGACCGCATATCCCAAACCATGGCTTTCTTGTCACATCCCTAATAAGATAAAAAAATTCACTACAGTTGTGCAGATGGTGACATCCACCCGCCACGTGCCTGATACACTTCACCAAGCCCAGCTACGTTCAAAGGCTCCAACCATCGCAGCTCTGAGGGGATTTAAGCAGCAAAGCAGCCCCAGAACTGGCTGTACGGGTACCCCCAAGCATGGTACAGCTGCCATTAGGAGCAGAGTACAACATGAAGGCTGGAGCCTCAGCGGTGCCACAGACCGGCACGGGCACAGCGCTGCCGTGCAGCACCAGGGAGTGCAGGCAGGCCTGGGGCGTTGGCGCAGGCGGACCCTCACTAACCGGCACTCACAGCCCTGCTCTGCTTGTGCTGCTGCCCTACCTGTGCCTGCAGTCCCACCATGCCACAGAGCTGCACAACTGACTCATCCCCTTATCACTTAACAGTATAAAAAATTAACACCCAGCATTTAAAGTTTTATAACTAATTCTTCTCATACACGGAAATAGAAAATGAAATAAGTGCATCCGGAGGGTCTCCTGCCCAGCCTCCTACCAGAGTTAACCCCTGCTGTGGTTCTGCACCCACGTGCTCAATGGCGTGGTTGGGATGAGAAAAGCAGCACGACAGCATTTCATCTCATTGTCAAGCTCTAACCTGCCCTTCGAAGCTGCTCTTTGAAAAGATCATTTAACACTCAGTCCTTGCTGCAGGGTGCTCAGCACCCTGAATGCTTTGGTCAAAGGGCTCAGCCCGAGTAGTCTGCAATGCCCTTGGGGCAGGAACCATCTCATACCGGCCATGCTCTCAGCCGCGATGTCTCACTGCTGTCACAGTTGCCCTGACAGGAGAAGGAACGCAGGCTTTTCTTTTAAGAGTGATGGGAGATTTTAATAAATACGACCCTGCTCAGGGGCAGGCCATAGGTAGGCTCAACTCCGATGGCTCAGCCTTGCTGAGGCTGCATGGGAAGCACAGGGCAGGCCAGGCAGCTGCTGCTTCTGCCAAGCTAGCGCGTCCTGCCCAGCAGACTGTGCCACACGTGTTATTTATTTCTAAGCAAATAGGATTGCTAATTAAATTAAACAGTCTCTTCACAATTCACATATTTCTCTTTTTTTTTTTAATTCTCTTGTTCAAATGAAATCCCAGGGTTTTTACTAATGATGTCATTATTTAAAGGGCAATGTCCCTTTGTGCCGACTCGTGGTTTCTGCGCAGGGGAAACGAAACAGGATAGAGAGCATTTTAGACTCAGCATATTTTCCTCTCAAGCCCTGCCACAGCCCAAGCCCAGTCCTTCGTAGTGCTTCTATGTGCACTGTTCTTACTGACCTCTCTGGGAGTCTGGGGGCAAGATCAATCTGACAATCTGGTGCTTTGACTCCTAAGGTTTTGAAGGAGAAACCAGTGACCACCTGCAGAGCGATGAGCCTCCGGAGTGCTATCCAACTCACCCTGAGGAGCAGCGCTCAGAGGGCACTGAGCACAACAGCCTGGGACACAGCCCTGAGCTCACCCAGGAGGGCCGGGATTTTCAGTTAGGTTGTTAAATGTCACCCAGCCTACACACTGAAGTATTGGCATTGCTTATTCCAGTTCAAGGTTACTGTAATACATAGGCACAATATACAGGGAGTCTCTCTATGCTACCATACCTTCAGGTTGCACTGTTCTGGCTATACCTGCATTGACACGATGTAAGACAGATCTTCACTGAAGTGGTATTTCGCATATGATGAATTAAGCGAGTCCCTGTAAGGATGGACATGCCCAAGCTGCTACATCGACACAAGTATGACATATTCTCTTAGCAGTACCATAGCTGCTTGCGATTCTTTGCCCTATAATAAGCTGAGCTGTTCCCAGGGAGAATGAATCTATCCTTTCTGGGAAGCAAGCTTGGTGACAGGAAAGCCCGGGAGGAGTAATGCACTCAGATGGAATTAGCTTTCAGTCACGCTTCAGAGCAGCTGTGCTAGCAGCAGCCAAACTGGGCCAGTGAGCTGGGCTCTGCTCCTGGTGGGCCAGCCAAATTTGATAAAAGAGTCATAACAGAAAAGGTCCAGGTTTACGGTGCAGGGATAGGACCATGACTCCAAGCACAAGTGGAATCCCCCAATCCATGGTATGGATTGGTATGGCACAAGGGCCATTTCCATCAGCAAGCACAGGACAGCCCTGGGCCAGCGGTGGTGGGGCTCAGAAGCCAGGTACCTTTAGCAAAGTTACTGGTAGCAACCTGCCTCCAGTAAGAGGTCATCTCTCATCTCCTGCCAGCTCTCACCTGTACACTCAATTTCTGATGTGGGAAAGACCAGGACCACCTCAAAAAGGAGCTGAGCCCTATCCCAGCCACCCTTATGCTTTGCCCGCCTCACTGCCAGGCTGCGTGCCAATGGCTTGGCTGTCCAGAAACAGCAGTTCCTCAGCAGCAGATTTGGAAGATGCCCTAGGTACTCTCCCAGACCAGTCCTGCAGCCCCAGAGAGGTTTGTGTGTTCCTCTGGGCCAGGACAGGGAGCGGGCAGTGTTTGACGAAGGGGCTTTAAATGCCTCTGGTACCACTGGAAGGCATAGAGGACTCAGCAACAGCTGAAGATGTGGCCACACCTCATCTCCCTGCTTCAACTTGTATGAGAGTTTAGCCAGTGTCCAAGCTACCCCTTGGCTTCTGGGGAGCGGTTGAGGGACACAGTGGCACGCACGTTATTTGTGGCCCCACTTTGACGCCCTGAGCAGCCGCCTGGCACACCCCGTCCGGCTCCAGAGAGCTGGGCATGAGGAAGGAGCCAAATGTGGCAAGTTGTCTGCTGTGCTGTGCTCCTATCCACAGGGGCTCACACCTCCGCTGTGGTGTGAGCCCGCTGCTCTGACTCTGAGCCTTTCCCTTCCCGGGAGAGACGATGTTTTGCTCAGGCTGGATTGCTTTGGTGTGGGGTGGAATTTGCTAAGTAAGCAGAATTGCAGTCAGACTGGCTGGGTGGGTTTGACCCCACAGTCAGGGGTTTAATTTGCTCCAGCTCGGAAAATGTGCTTGCAATGAGTGGATTGCACTGGGGCTTCCAACACATACTCCAGCACTCTCAATAAGATCACGAGCCTTCTGCTTTGCTGCCTTTTTCCTTCTACATCCCTTCATTTTATATTATGATAGAAAGCTCCTGCTTACCCCAGAGACAAATGTATTTCCCGTTTCAGAAGGGGCCAGGTCCAAGCACAGGACATCAGCTCCATGACCATGGAAACTCTGTAGAAGCTGCCCACTCTCAACATCCCACAGAGCGCAAGTTCCATCTCCACTTGCTGTCAGGATCTGTAGGATGTGGCAAGAAGAGTCACAATACAAAATCAGCAGATGATCTTCAAGTTCACAAAGAATCAACTGCCATCTTATACATACACCAAGGATAGCTTTAGTTTAATGAAATATTATGCAATAAATCAAAGACATTAAAAAATATGAATCTAAGCACAGTTTTATGTTTTTTATTTTTGAGGAAAGAAGTTAGAGTGGAAAGGAGAGTTGTATTGACACAGCTATACCTACACAGTGTTTTGATAATGGTCAGTTTTGTGCAGTGGGGTTTGGAGAACTGATGGCAGTAAGAATCTGCTGGCATTTCCATATCCTCCAAAAAGGAGGTAGAACCAGACTGGTATTCCTGTCTGCCCCTGTATTTAACCCTATCCATACTTAGGCTGCTGGAATTCAACCTGAGTAAAGAGAAGAACTGTTGGAGTCAGGTATACCTGTTGAACTCTCTAGGGTTTTTTTTCTGCTTGAAATAGCCAGGTTAAACCCAATTAATTGGGCTTAAGACATGGATTTTCTGAAAGGGAAACAAGCCTGTCTAGACAGTTGTTTGACAAGTCCATCACCTCTCACTTGTCCAAACCCATTTGTGTGTGAAAGGGCTTGAACATACACTGACCGAACATAGCTCACAGCTTCCCTCATCTGCTACGATGCTTGCAGAAATCACATGTGATCAGCGCTTGTTATTGTGGCTAAATCCTGATGGTGCTCAATTGTTCAAAATTTCCCTTTGGCACCCAAAGCTGTTATGCAATCACAAGTTCTGTAGGTTGAAAGGGTCCCTGTGCACTGGCATGGAAGCAGGCAAGGGTAAACTTAGGAGGGCTCTCGGTCTTGTACACAGGTTTTTGTCATGGTCAGTGAGGGAACTCAAGGGATCCCAGTGGGTAGTTAGAAGTTAAAAAGAAAATCCTCTTCAAGAAGGAAATGATCACACAATCATGAAACCATTCACAGAGTTGCATAAAGGTTAAACAATGAGTATGTTCGACAGATGCTCCAAAAACCCCTCCCATAAACAGAGGTCTGCAAAGCTGCAGAACAGACTGTTCTGAATCCTGCAGTAGAGAGACACTAATACTCTGAGATTAAAGTCCTGACTTGTCTTTCTGGCCAGCTTTTGAGCCTAGATCAATGAACTTCTCTGTTCTGAGGAATATTTGTACTCGGCTGAGGAATGAAGACTTTCAGCTGTGAGGATTTGCTCTTCTAATAGGGTGTAAGAAAGATATGAGGGGAACAGGAGTAGCTAAAGGTGTAAGGGAAGGGTCTGTTGGCAACCCAGAGCTCCAGCTAATGCTTAAAGAGAAATGTTATGGACTCAACTTCAGGGTATTGCTACTGAAAACCAAACCAAACCAACTCCAAAAATCCAAAACCAGAAGGGAATTAACAACCTTTGCTATCAGACTCCAGCTTGCTGCCCGAGGGGCTCCAGCAGCGCTGGATGGGCATCCTCGCCTGGCGCCTGGTGGCAAGAGGGAGCCCTTGCACACAGCAGGGGACAGCAGGGACACGGCCCCTGCTCCCCAGGAGCACCGGGGCTGGGAGCAGCGGGGCCACCCTCACCTCTGCCTCCTCGGCCATCGCCAGGGGCCTCATCGCGCTTCCCAACCCCGCCGCACTGGGAGTATGGCTGCCTGCCCTATGCAAAACACTTGAGATCCCAATTAACTGTTGCTATTAATACACATGGAGCACTGTCACGTGGGGAGCATTATCACACCGCAGAGCTGCAGATACCTAATTTAGGAAGTGAGGCGCCCTGGCTCTCTGCATACTGAGGTGGGGGAGGCTCTCTCTGGCAAGACTGATTTGGGGCACTGAGAACGAGGTGCGTGGGTCGCCCAGCCCTGCAGCTCAGCGCTTGTCGTGGCCCAGGGTGGGAACACGGTGAGGAGCAAGGATGGGATGCCCTCTTTCAGCACCCACACTGCCTAAGAGTGGCTTTAATCAATGTTTAACCATCCCCAGATCGCCTCTCTCTCCATTGCACTGCCAGGTGCCCATGGGCATACCAACTCCCTAACTCCTACCCCGTCTTTCATTCCTCTGAGGGAAAACTGAGCTGTAGTTTAAGAGAGCAGCCAAGGCAGAGCAGCAGCATTCACAGCACCTCACAGTGGGTGCCGGGGGGCACTGGGCTGGGGGACACCTCCACCACGCACTAGGGCTGCTCCAGGACAGGTACCACATCCCTCGGTGATGCGAGCTGGGAGAGCAGAGCTGCTCCCCACAGAGCTGGGAAAGCTCCCCCACAGGGTGCTTGTTGCACCCTCAGAGTTACTGAGCGATTTTAATTCTGAAGCTGTTATATAAAGGACAAAAACAAGAAATCTGGGATTCTCTCAGATCCCCTACATAACCGTGTCCTACAGAAGCTTGGCCAACCCACTTGCTTGTGTTTGTTTCAATAATAACATGCAGTGCTATAAATGATCACTTAGAAGCCTATCAAAACCAAGAAAATTCCTCTTTCAAGTCTTCAGAAAAACCCCTGAGTCACTGAATATAAAGCACCTAAATCCACTGTGGTATTATTTAACAACAGTAGTACATTACCTTCAATATCAATGCAGTTTGCTGTATTTAATATGGAGAAAAAAAGATCCATTTTTTCATTCTTTTTTATTATGAGAATAAATAACTATTTTTCCTTTCATAGGATTCAATCACGATGCGTATAGGTATGGACAAGAAAAAAGAACACTGTTTTTCTCTCTCATCAAAAACATTCCACTTAATTTAGACTGCTCTAATTACGCAAGGCTCCTGCACAGTAAGGTCAGGGCTAAGCCAGCCTGAGCGCTGGGTACCTCCACTGCTTGTTTCCATGGCAATGGACTTAAATTAGCACCTCGGAGTCATTACAGAAACCATAGAACGACAAACAACAATGTACTCTTGGGCATCTCATATCCTGAAATAGAAGCGCAGAGAGCTGATACTTCCTTCAGAAGAGCTCCAAATGTCTGGAAGAAGGGGACAAGGTATTCCCTTTTCAGCAGGTCTGCTGTCATAGAGCGCAATGAAAATCCTCCCTTCTGCCACTTATTTTGGTACAGAGCTGCACCAAGCAGTGTCAATTAAATTGAAAAAACAGGGAGAACAAAGGGATTATCCTGGCTCCTTTCCTCATCTTTTGTGTTCCTGGAGAAAGAGATCACTACGGAGGAAGGCTGGCCTGGTCTCAGAAGATCTGGATTTAGTTCCTGGCTTTGCCATCGTCTCCCACTGTGGCCCTCTGTGCTCCAACCCCCCAGCTGCGAGATGGGGATAGCATCACATCTTTCCCTCGAGGGAACACACCACTGTGTGCACGGACAACAGGGCTGGCCTTGTAGGGCCATCCTCAAGTTCAAATATTTCACTCAGTACAAACAAAAAACACTAAGAATGAAAGCAAAAGCAAGGCTGGCTGGACGTCTAGGACAGAGCAGGCAAACAACACTGTCTCCACTGGCTGGCATAGCACATACCCAACCTAGTCCTATCTCAGCTGGGTTTTTAACTATTTTGATTAGTTTGAGCTCCTAAAAGCACAAGCCAGCACAGACCCAGTGAGCAGAGAAGACGCAGGTACCAGCGAGCTCCCTCTGCAGAAGGGACAGGCCTTTGCAGAGCACAGGAATGACAGCCTGGCCAGGGGCTGTGACACGCATTTCCTTAGAGCAGCTTTTGCAGCACCTTCCTTGCCCCCAGCGGGGGTTTTCCAGCAGCCCCTGCATGGGGCAGGACATGGCCCTGGGCACCCCAGGTGCAAGGAAGGTTACTTGCACTGTGTATGCGTGCAGCTCGTGTTAGGCATTGCTGGACGGTGAGCAGCGGGTAGGGAATGCATTTACCTGCATGTCTGAGTTAGTGAAGCTGCAGGCAGACAAGTAGTTTGTGTGCATTGCAACTGATTTCTTCTTTGCAGCCATATTTTCATTTTTGTCAAATGTCAGAGGGTACACAGAACACTTGTTGTCCAGGCCACTAAAGAGAGTAATAATAGCAATAACAGAGAGAGGAGAACTGGTTAAAACTGCAACGACAAAAGGCGAGTGGTGATAAGAAGGAAACCACCTGTCAGTGCTGTGCTGCCAAACCCTTACAAGTACCGACTTCCCTGTATTGTGCTGCCTGGGATCTCCCTGTGCAGGGAAGCCCCAGCTGCCTCACCAGGCTGGCCACTTTACAGAACTTGAACAGCTGCGCCTCAGTATTTTTTACCCTCATCGAGTTTATAAATGGCACTGAATGAAATCTCACGAAAGTATAAGCTGGGAGGTGACATAGCAGTCACCTCAGGGTTAATGTTTCACATACAGCCAAACTGCCTTTTTTCTGTTGACATCAGTCATTGCGAGGATCGGTATTTAAGCATCATTATTTATCTACCTTAATAAATTTGACCTAACTCCTATGGAAGAGACGGTTTAGCAAGCAGTGGGTGTGAAGACAGGGATTTTAGAAGAGTTTGGAAAAAAGGCAACAGAAGCACTGACCTCTGTAGCTGGTGTGTCCCTCCTGGACAGTTTGCACCAGTTAAGCTGTGTCTCCCAGGCCAGATGTGGGACTCTATTCTAAAGGGTCTGACCTGTGTCTGAACTTTTCTGAGCCATGGTAGATCAGCCCTGCTCTGGTTCCTGAGATCCCGGCACACCACCAGGTGCTGGTTCTGTGCCTTCTATTGTGTGCACAGCACTTAACTGACAACACAACAGAAATACAGAATTAGGTAGCGCAATGCATATGTGCCCTCCCTGTCTCTCTTACAAGTGCGAAGGCAGAGCTTTCTTGCCATTCTTCGAGTTTTAGTCAAAAACACACCGTTTCCAGACTCCCTCTCCACACGCATTTATGGAGTCTGCCCGTCTGTCTCAGTCTACTGCTTTCTAGATTTGCAAGCTGCACAGTAAATTCTCCCTTTGTTCCCTTCTCTCGCCGCAAGCTTGCTTTGTCTGTCTGATCCACCCAGTCCCTTTTTAAAAGATGTTTTGCCAACATCTCATCTCTTTGTTTTCTCCCCTGCATAAACTAGTTTTTTTCAAACCTGAGCCCTCGGAAAACTTGGAGAAGATTATCAAGGATGGGGTTACTTCTCCCCACCCCATCTTGGCAAGATCTATTCATGTGCTGGTAATCATTAATGACTAACCTTCTCTACATCGCAGAAGAAAGAGTGCAAAGTAAGAACAGGGTTAAAACCACCCTCCCTTAGAAGATATATCCAACACGCACAATCAAACTGCAACAGGGAAGTTGCATGCATGCAGAATTCCTAACCCACAATATAAATGCTGAAAGAGGATTATTTTCCATGCTTACAAATGTCATTGCACTGAAGTCAGTGGAGATAATGTGTACAAGTCATTATGGGAATAGAATCAGAGGCACTGAACGCAGTCCTTCCACCCACAATCAAAGCACGCAAACCTCTAGCTGTCAGCATCTGAAGGCACCAGGACACCACTACAAATCAAGCTTCTCTGTGTAAGCAGCCGTAGAAACTGGGAACTTACCCACAAGCAATGGCACATCCAGATGGGGCATATGCACACGCCATCACCCAGGTACAAGGCATCGTCACTGCATGTTCCTGAAACACAGGAAGCATCTTTAAACTGAGACGTCACTGTTCCTCTAATCGGTGCAAGAAAAAGTGTAGAGTAGTAAGTTCAGCATTTCTGTGGGTCATCTTTAGGGTCAGTGAAAGGTACAGGCATTTCCCCCAGCTATAACTCACATGTAAGGCTGGGACGGCCCTTACTGCAGAAGCCAGCAGAGTAGCAGGAGGATGGCTACTCCCTTAATGACACTTTCCACCTTATTCATGAGCCTCAAACTGATCACAGAGCATGTTTTATTTGGGTTACTCAGTGCTGTAAAAGGTCCCCACTGCTGCATGTGTAGAAGTGAGCTACAAACAAGCTGTTTCTTCTCAGCTGTGTGCAGCAGAGTGCTGGGAGGCTGGGCTGCCCTGGCAGGGCTTGGAGGAGCAGTGGCACCACTTCACAGTGAACACCATGGCTGAAGCATCCCGGGTTATCACACATGGCACCTGGTACAGGGGTTACCCGGGGAGGACCTCTGTTTTGCTGGCTGGGCTTTGCCCCCAGCCAGGAGCCCTCCCTCTCAGCAAAGAGGCTCGATCAGAGCCTCCCACTGCAGACCATGACAAACCCCACTGCCCTGACAGGGACTTTGCTCAGGGACAGGAGGTGGTTTGCCCTGGGCCCCTTGGTCTGAGGTGCTGGTGGAGGTCTGCATGTTATCCCATCATCCCACTGCCTCCTCTGACACCTGTGAGCCCTTCAGCCCTCCATCTCATCCCACCATCATTTGCTCTGTGCACAGAAATCTGACTTTTGCTGAAGTTTCACTTACCTTGTTGGTAGTGAAGGAATCCCACACTATCACCTTCCCGTCCTAAATGAAAGCACACAGAGACAGAATTGAGGCCTTCCAGAGTCATGGCTGTCAGCCTACTTCCCAAATTTGGGGAAAACTCTGCTGCTCATTTCCATCCCCCAGTCTGTTATGTCACAAAACTTTTGTCTCTGTTTTAACAACAGCACAATAGTCACAGCGAAGCACCAAGGAGGCACTCCTTAGGAGTGTTAGTTATGTCTTTGGCCACAAGAAAAGCATATCTCCTCCTCGCTGAGATGACTGGCGTTGGCTTAAAAGACTGATTTATTTTTTTTTTCCCTTTTAGCAGGTTTATGAGAACTTCTCTCACTTGCAGCACACACCACGCACACGACTGTGTCCTCAGGAAACTCCCCCTAGTGAGCCCTCACCTACCTCCTTTCAGCCACAATGTGTTTCTCCCAGCCTGTAATCACCACACCTGCAAAGCTGGTGACCTCTCCCAAGTGATATCTGTCTGTGGCTCAGTACAGGGCCTTACAAATACATGAGGTGACCTGTATTACAAATCACTTGCTGAGCTGGCAGCACTCACAGGGACTATTTATGGACATCGCACTTTTTATTCATCTTCCCTTTCCTGTCTTTTCCTGGTTTTCCCCTTACCTCTCACTACACTTACTTAACCTTCAATTATCCATTGATACAATCTGCTAAATAGCCATTGTAAGAACACTCCACAGAGAGCAACACAATCACTTGCGTATGCCAGCTACGCTCATGCCAGCTACTCTGCCTTTTGCATGTAATATTGTTGTCCTCCCTGTATCTTGAAAGCCAAATCCTTAGTACTGAGCAACAATAGTTGCTGTACCTGGACACACTACAGTTCCTAAAATAGAGTAAAAAATGCAAGAATGCATTATAGCTTGCCTGTTCCACTTTCTGATCTACACACTGACATTTTAACTACTTTAAAAAATGTGACATTAATTATTTAAAATTATTCTCTTTGCTGAGATCACCATGAATGGTAAAAACTCACAGTAACTGAAGGTGGCTTGCAATGCAGATTGCCTATTTTTATCCCTCAAGTGAGACCCCTGACAGATTTCATATAGATCAATGAACAGCTGTGAGATGGAACAAGCTCACTCACTGCCATACTGGGCTCAGGACGAACCAGGGGATCTAGAAAGTAATTATCTCATTACCTCCTCCAGCTCATGACTGGTCTTGAGCAGGTGTTAGGACTGTTTCTCAAAATGCCCAAGTAAATGCAGTAATTTTGGCAGGATGTTTGAGGCTTTCAAGGTCGTACCAAACATACAGACTGCGGATTAAATTTCTGTGCCCAGAAATCTCTAGAAGAATCAACATTTCTTCCCTTCCCTTTTCCTGATTAATTTCTCTGAACACATAAACCAAAATTGTTACTAAATATTTTGTCTGTAAAGAACAAGGAAATAGAAGTGGCCTCAGATAAGTTCTCTCTATTTTCTATTGCAGTAGGGAATATGCGGAAAATCTGTATATGACTGGACAAGAAATATTTAGGGCATTGGCTATGATTGGCTATGATCAGAAGCTTGGATTTGTCCTCTCTGAACGAATACCTTGCCAATGCACTGCTTTAAGGGCATCTTGAAAACATTTCCAATATGCACAGATATCACCTACACAGAGTGGCACATAGCACAGCCAAAATATTTGTATGGTGCCCAACAGTAGCTCTGAAAAACATCTGCCCAACAGCATACCTGAGAAGAGCTCACAATTCTTCTCTTGTCTTTGCACCAGTCCATACAGAGAACTTTATTTCCGTGGCCCTTCAGGGTCCTCCTCGTCTTCATCACAAACTGTCCCAGCGCCTCCACACGCTCCGCCACCTGATGAACTGCAAACAGCTGACAGTTAGAGCCCTGCATCAAAGCTCTGCCCTGGCAAATCTCTACTTTTATGAGTAATGTCACTAGGAGGAATTAATCCATGAAGTTTGAGTCTATGGTGCAAGCCAGCGAACTCTGCTTCAGAGCTGACAGGTGGGCGGTGTATGAACATATTCCCCAGATAAAGATAAGGATCAATTCACTCAGGGCTTGAATTCCAGGGCTGCAGCAGCTGAAGCTCCTGCAGACCATCACACCCAAGTAAACTGGAAATAGATTACCTCCTTCACCCCTCTTATTGGGAAATCCTCAGTCTGACTGAGGCTTGAAAGTGCATAGACAGCCTCCAGCCTAATACATACCTCAAGGTACAGAGCAGAAGTGAAGACCACTACTGGGTCTTGGAGGAAAAATCATATAAAAGGGAGTAAGCATCAAATCTCCAAGGTTTCAATGGTAAAATACTTGTTCCGGGTGTAAGACTCCCAGCTGCAGTCCGTTCTCAGCACTGCAGCGGTGGCGCAGCACGATAGAGCCCTGGCGCTGGAGACTTCTCTGCTGTGCCATGCCTTCTGGTGGCCAGGGGAGCACTGAGGGCCAGGACATCACTCTGAGTGAGCAGAGAAGCTTGGCATTTCCTATAAGAGTGAGCAACCCAACTTCTCAACACTGTCTATGGACATTGAGGACTTCATGAGTGGGTCAGTTTTTTCTTTTATGGCAAAGAGAAACAGAGAGGGCAGGCAAGCAGCTTTCCTGAGTAGCATCCTCTGGTGGTGGTGAAGTCAGTTCTTTCATATCTCACTTAATAGCAGTACTTTCAGCTGACATTCTTAGAAACCCAACAAATTTACATTTCCAATTGTGCAAACTCCCTTTGACATAAAATTCATCTTACTGCAGCTGACACAACTAAAAGGTATCTTGTGTAACCTTGATGCCTCATGCTGGGGTCCTGTGCACATATCTGGGAAAAAACATCATCTGAGGAAACCTATTTGCTCTGCTCCAGTGTTGTTCATCCAGCATGGAGCTGAGTAGCTGCTTGTGGCCGCTCTGACACACTTCACACAGAGCACCAGCAAGGGTGGGAGTGGATTCAAGTCTCACAGCAGAGTAGGAGTCCCTGGGGCAGGAGACCCTGGCACCAGAATTAAAAATTACGCTGTCTAGAGAAGAGCTAATCGGATCCAGTGCTTCCCTGTGCTGTGTGTTTGTCCATGCCGAAACCTAAGAAGATCCAGCTGCTTTTGAAATAAACGCAGAAGCTCATATGCTTTAATGAGCTGGTGGAGGAAATCTTAAGCTTTTCAATGCCATGCTGGATGAGCTCCCCATCCCACATGGCAGATGACTGCTCTGGAGCTGCATTGCTGCTTCACCCTTCAACACTTTTCTAAAGCTGCAAGAAAGCTCACGGGCTAGGAAGGGCTGTCAGAGTGAGAGAGCAGGCAACCTTAACTTTGAGATCATTCCCTGGCACAGGGTCAGGGAAGCAATTGCTGCCTAAGGCAGAGACTGATTTCTGGTGGATTAGCTTCTGAAGAGTTATCTTTCAAAACCACCAGCCCTGCAAGCTGTGCCAGAATAACGTTCTCACCTGCAATCTCTGCTCGGCCAGTCTCCCCCAGCCAGGGCACAAGTGCTGACCACCATTCCTGACAACTTGTCCGTACCATCTCTAACAGGAGATCAGAAGCAAGTTTCTGAGAAAGTACCACATAAACCCACTGAGGAAAAGACAAATTTTCCCCTACTTTTGCCCATGGAAACCTGCCAAATGATCCAATCAAAAGACATGAAAATGCAGGACAGGAGGTTATTATGGCAGCTGGAAAGATGCTTGTGTCCAGAACATATCTGAAAAAACAAATGTTTCACAGACAATGGGCAAAGTGTTTCCATTATGTCAACTCAGCTGAGACTCTGTGGAATTGTCTGGTTTAGCCTTACTGATTCTCTAAGGACGCTTATCTCCAACCACAGCCATAATACTCCTGCACCCGCCTAGCACAGGTTTTAGAGTCAGATAATTATTTCGAAGCATTCTCCAATATTGTTTCAAGACAGTTGAAAATCATGCACTCAGGCAAGTAGATCAGCTAAAGCCAGTAAGTAGCTTGAGTGGTTTTACAAAGGCCCAGATAAAAGAGGCTATTTTTCCAAAACGTATCCTTTGGCCTGAGGAGGTGTAGACTTGATACACATTCTATTGGGCCTTTGATCTTTTCTGTGCTAGAAGTCTGTTGGTCCTAATGGTCTCTTCTGGCCTTAAAAATTTATGATCGTATGAAGAGAACAAACTATTTTATCTACACCTAAAATTTTAAGTGATAGGATTGAATCCTTAAAATTGTAAGACTGCCAATCAAATGCACGCTTGGTATTTCCTTTTTCTATCCACATTTTTGAGAGCTGCTGTTCAAAACTAGTTGAACAAATAAGGGCAATCCTAGTTCAGCCAGCTGTTTGTTTGGGGAACCATACAAGGAAAGTCATGATCGGAGCAAAAAAATGCAAAAGATACAGTTTTAGATTAGAAAAAAGAAAACCAACAACAAAACAAAAGAGATGCTTTATTCTGAAACTTACAATCTCTGCAGAAATAGTTCTTGGCAATAATTTAAGTGAAAAAAAGCTCTGACACAGAATCAATGACATAAAATATCATGAGGGAGTATTGTTCTAAAGCAACATAAGACTTTTGCCTTAGGAATCTTGTCATGGCTGCGCAAACACAGCCTTCCAACATAAGTTTACAGAGTTTACACGTGACAAAAACCTAAATATCCTATGACTATCAATGACGCACAGTTACAGCATCACTCCAATCACAGGTAAAACTCTTTGTGAGCAAAAATGGATTTAAGCCTATGCTTAAGGGGTCTCTTAAACAGAGGCCCCACTACCTCCGATACAGAAATGATGCTGTAGGAATATGGTGATTTATGGTAATATTTCTGTAATGAGGCTATCTCCTTTTGTTTAATGATTCCTATTAATAGGACACTCGTATAACATATGATTGTCTAACGTAGACAAGAAAATGCTCTATTTACTCCAGAAGAAAGTCTTTTAACCCTCCCGCACCTGAAATTCAAGAATGTTTGCCAGTCCCTCAGTCTTACAAAACACTAAGAGCTAAATCACTGGATACAGGCTCAGATTACTTTTCAACATTTAAGGCATCAAAACAGATGAAATAAAACTTTTAATGACCCACTCATATTTCTAAAAAAGCGAGCTATATGATTTCAGAGGAATGCAGTAATTTACGTGTTTTTCTCAAAAAAAAAATCAAACCTGGCAACGTATTATACCATAATTATAAAAGTGAAATAATAAAAGTGAAATAATAAAAGGATTTATGTATCTCAGGACAGGAAATCCATCCATATAATTTCTTGAAACCGCAGCTGATTACAGCGTTACTGCGCACTGACACCTCGAGCACCGACTCACCCCGCACCTCTGAATACAGCACTGGATCCCTCCAAGTTATTCCTTGGAGGAAGGGGGGGGGAGAAGGAGCCGGTTTGGGGAAGGACGTTCCTTTTTACGCCCTTTCACCTTGCATGAAATCCTGGCCCCGTTAAAGCAAATTCCCACCGCCTTCCACGCGGCTGGGCTCATTCTTTCGTTCTGCCGCTAAGACGCGCGTTGAAAGGATGCAAACAAACCTCGGAACGCACCGAGGGGGATATGTCACGGCCTCCTCCCGCCCCCCGCAGGCGGTGCAGAAAGCGCCGGCCCGGAGGCCCCGCGGTGTTGCG